CCGGCTGAAGTGAATGCAGTCGATCGACTGGTTATGACCGGCAGTCCTTGCAAGGAGTTTAGGTAGGTGGGACCGTAAGCATTGGTCACCGATTGGATCCACCGACATTGCATGTTGGTTAACTTGATAAATTATTTGGTCGTCAGATGATTGGTTTAGATCATACTCCTTTAGCCCAACACTTTGGTTGTTCAGACATCAGACCGTGTCGTTTGATCTTTTTGAGATTTGTGTTGGTAGTTTTGATGCATTCATATTAGTTCTCTGAGTTCCTATTCCTTAATTGCGACAATTGCGATAAAGACAAAGAAACTATTAAACAATTAGTGGTATCAAAATTAAGAAAATTATTTCTATAATTAACTTTCCTTTGGATTTCGTTCTATAAATAGGATCATAGGATTGAAATTACGTTCTTTGCTGTAAGTTCCCCCCAGACCGATGAGTGGCATCATGGCATATGGTACTAGCCGAGATGATACATATGCTGACCTTCTGGGTATGACCGACATTAGATTCTTGTCTCTGTAAAGAGGAAAATGATTGTAAAGAAAGAGACGCAATCGAGACCCAATCTTGTTTGACCGATCAAGTCGACTCAATCGAGGGTGAAGGGTAGACGTCGAATAAGACCTACCAGATAATCCCGGTTCCCGGGCCTAGTTCAAGTATGTTTGTGGAGGGCCAATAGACTTGATTATTGAAGGCATCGCCGCCTCATTATTTGACAAGTTGTGTTGTGATTTTCTCCCTCAAATTTCGGAGAGGAAGCTCTCCACATGTTTTTGAAATAGGCTAGCGACAAAGCTTTCCAATTCCACAAACTCTTCAAGACTTTGCAAAGTGAGATGGCTACAAAGCTTTTCTCATTTTCCTAAGTCCAAACTCCCAGTTTCTCCAAGAAAAATTGAGAAATCCAAAGAAAGAGGAGGAAGGGACTCAAACCCACTAAGACTTGTGCTGGGGCTCACAACAAAGGGATTCACTCAGCTCTACGAATGGTGTTTGGCCACGCATGGAAAATCCCAACCTAGGGTCTCCTCTAGGGAAAAAGATGATCCATCACATAAGCACGTGGCCGCACATGCTCATATTGTCCGGCAAAAGCACCCCGTGTGGGCAAACAAACCCACATGACTATCACAGCTAAACCCCAGGGCTTGCTAAGAAAGGAAATGCAAGAAGTAGGATTTTCAAAATCTCACCATCACAAAGTTTGTTCGAAGTACACTTGAGTTTATGAAGAATATCTCCTAAAAGGTAGGAGAAAAGCCCACGAATCCTTCCCAAGATGGTGAAAAAGCTTTCCTTTCCAGAGAGATCACTGGAGTTCATCGGAGTTACCTTCCCTGAGCTAGGATGACACTTTCCTAGTTGCACTCCTCAAAATCTGCGTCGAAGGGGAAGAAGAGCAGCCCACGAGATGAAGAGGATGGGAAATGGCCAACCTCAAGCTCTTTCATTGAGGAAAAACTTACCTAAACTCCAGGAACTCAAGGTAGTGGAAGAAACTCCAAGGAAAAGAGGAAATGAAGAAGAAGGTGGAGAGGAAGATGAAGTAGAAGGGGTGGCTGAAGAGGAAAAACCCAAGCTCACCAAGAGAAAGAAGCCCTCATCACTTCAAAAGCTCTCCTACACTCCCTTACACTCCTTCGGTTGTATGGCCTTCGATCGCTGCAAATGGGGAGAGCTGGCTTGTTTAAACAACCAACCCCTCCCCCAAAATGACCAAAATGCCCCCAATATGTGCCCAGGAAGTGAAGGCAAAAGGGTTTTTTTACATCACTCCCGAGGCTCATGAAGAAATCCCTGTGAGAACGGTGACTTCGAGAGTCAAAACAACGCTCAAAATGGTCATTTTCGTGACATGGGTACTTACTGACACCTTGGCGCCACTTTCCTAGGTACTACTTAGGTGCTTAGGAGCTACTTTTTTGGGCGCTTGGGAGCTATTCTAGGCGCCTAGGTGCCAAGCTCTAGGGAAAATTGGGTTTTTAGCTGTTTGGACGCATGGACGCCCGATTTTTTCGGTGCCTAGGCGTTGGGTTTGTGCCAATTGTTGTAAACACTTGTCAGATATCTGAAGGCTTGGGTTTGAAGGTCCAGGAAGGGATTTTAGACACTTGGGTCCATGGAACCCGTGCCGGGGAGTTAGTTTAACTTGAAACTCTGATTTTTGTTGGGAGCGCCCGACAAAGCATTTTTTTATCTGAAAGCTATGAAAAACTCCATGTGAGTGAAATTTAGTCCCATAACTCTAAAATAGAGTATTTTAATTGGCCATTTTATAGAGAAATTGGTTCCAATTGCTGTCGTAGACCACGACACAGGTAGGGTGTACTGAACCTTAATTTTTGGTAGTGCGTGCAGGTGAAATCCATGATTTTCTATGGTTTTGGGAGGCTTCAGATGGACATGTGATGACTTATAATCATTATATCAGGCACTAAGCACTTCTCACATCTCAGAGGGGCCACTCGAAGGGAATTTTCTCAGGAATGGGTGAATTGCCATCGAACTTAATTACTTGCCCCGAACAAGAGCTGAAAAGTTTCTGGTGGGTTTCTTGAGCTCCTAAATTCTACAGACAATCCTTAGACCCCCCCCAAGCCATGAAGGTGGAAACCATACACTTTTGACCCTAAGAGTAATGCTAACAATAATTTACAACATGGTTAAAATTATACATACGAATAATGAACACTTCTAATCACATGTGTGTAATATGTTCGTCACATTTATAGTGACACTAATGGTTCCTCTCTATTCGTTATAGGTTCACAATACAAACAATGGAATCATGGATTAGAGATTAGTATATCTTGCTTATGGTCCTAATCATATTGTTGCTTTATGATAGATATTTGATGTAAACTGTTACACATTCCATATGAGTTCTTGGTGTGAAGGAAAGAAGACATAACTGCGGCGTCGCTGTTAAAAGTCACACACATACAAATGATGAGAATTATTTTTACGACGTACTTGACGAAGTCATTCAATAGCAATATCCAGGCAATGCCAACTACATTATGCACTTGTTTACTTGTCAATGGTTTGATCCTCTTCTGAATTGAGAAACCCGAACATTTAGGCCTTATGGCATCACTGAGGTTAAATTGAATAGATGATATGTGAGTTTGATTCTTTTGTTCTGACATGCCAAGCTACACATGTTTATTATCTTCAATACCGTCGTAGAGTAAGGGATTAAGTTGATTGGGCTGTAGTTATGAAAGAAAAACAAAAAAGAAAAAAAAAAAACTATTTAACTGTATAGTTCTATAGAATTGATTCACAAAGAAGAAAGTTTGCCATATTTCCATATTTAGGGTAACATAAATGATGAAATATTTGCGCTAGAGGATACCACATGGACTTTTGAAGATGTTGCTCATGGTTTGGCTGAGGATTATGAAGAGAGTGAAAAAGGAATTTTAGGTTCATCTTCAACGACGAGTTCTTTTGATGAAACTTAATAACATAGGTCCACAAACTTTAAATTAGTTGTTACTACTACTATTTTTGGTCTTTTACTTTTTTTGTTATTAGGTATAACTCTTATTCTTGATTTTCTTATTTTTAGACATAGATGTTACTTGTGTCTTACCTTTGTTGCACCGTTTCTTCCTGCTTTTGATTATTTTTCTGGCCAATACTAATTTTTTTAATGTCATTCCTTTATTTGCAGACGATCGCAGGTGGTACAGGTGATCGGCCACCTCATAGACCCCATGTTCTGGGGACCCTTGATTCCACCTCTCGCAGTAGGAAGAGGAGGTCGTCTACTCCGAGCGCTGCTTTCACTATTGCTACACCTTCTCTAGCACCTCCTCCCCCATCTACTATTGTTACACCTTTAGTGGCACCTTCTCCCACACCCAGTGCTGCCACCCCTCCTGTGGCATTTGCTCCCGCATCCAATGCTGCCCCATCTTCTTTGATGCTTGCTCCTTCCGTACCTACTCTCCCACCCACTGTTGGCACACCTCTTGAGCCTGACCCGTTGACTCTTGCACCCCCACCCTCAATGGTACATTTACTATCAGTGGGTGACTTGTAAGTTATTTTAATTCCAGTATTATGTTAATTCTTCATGATATACATTTTTGGAAACTAATTTATTTCTTAAACAGATTCATTCCTCACAGTTTGCCTGTTACCTACTTCAAATAAATTATCATGAGCATGTACGATGAGCCATATCTGTCATGGAAGCATATACATGTTGCCACTCCGAACTTGTGGTTGAGGGATTTTGAGATATGATCATTTAATTTTAATCAAATTTATAAATTTGATTTAATTTTTTATACTAACACATGGTTTATTTTTTTCCGTTAAAGAGGTCCTTCACCTGACTCCCAGTGCACCACCAGTAGATCTGCTGAATCTACGAGATTCAAGGCAGGCATTGCCTTGCCGACATGTTCATAACAGCTCGCCTGAGTCGCGAGTGACCTGCCTAGATTTGTGAGGGGATCTGGGGTCAGCTGATCGCAGCTTGGACCTCTCCTAATTATAAGAGGAAGAGGTAAACAAACCGAGCGAACATGGCAACAAAGGGGGTCAGGGGAGCTGCACTTCATATTGGCGGTTCTGTCCTCTATACAGAACACTAGAGGAGGTTGGTAATGTGGAAAGTGTTTTTATGTGGTTGTGAAAATTTAAATGGTACTCAAACTTTTATTTTTTTTTGTTAATGGTTTACGTCGTATTTGCATCTGTTATAGGACGCAAAATCCGACGTTACATCGACAATTTGACTTTGTCATTCTACTACATTTTCTGACTCAAATTATACCGTAATCCAACTTTACTATTCATCGTTTGATATTTTTAGATACAAATTTCAACGCACTTTTCGTATAAACAAATTTGACGCAACGATAACGGAAAAAATCGACACAAATTATTTGCGACAGAATTGTTCGACGTAAATTAGACGGAAATAACATTACAGATCCCCAAATTAATGTCAGAAAAAAATCATATGTAAATCTGACGATAACCCTCAAATAACATTGCATTTGCGCCCGATTTAAGTCCTATATGCCCGACCTAAATATGCTTAATTCCCGTAGTGTTCCCTCTCTCTCTTTTCATAAGGTGTCACAGACAACCACATTTGATAAGAACAAATGTCTTTTAAATTAGGTGGGAAAAATTGAGCATTTGATAGTTGTTTTTGGTATTATAGACTTCTTCCATTTGTTAAAAATCATTTTAAGTTTAAGTTCTGTTTTTTAATGCAAACATTAAGATTCAATAATTTCAATGTTGATGTTCAATTGTTTTTGACAATACTAAAATTACAATTCTATTCCTAAATATTAATACCTTTGAAAGTTTATTTTTATCAATAAATTTAGAAATTAATACAAATTTAAAATATTGAAATCATGCTATAATCTCACATTTTTAAATCTAAATAATTGATAACCAACAAATGTCTAATCGTGCAGCAATGTTATGTATATTTAATACATTATAACTGGCAACAACTTCCGGCAATAAGATTTGCAAGCAAATTTATGACTTGCAATTATAATAAGCATTGAAATTTCATTAGTTTAAGTTTACCATTTGTCATATATTCCTTAATTAAAATTGAATATGATTATTTGTTTATTTATTTATTTATCATTTTAATTTGTGCTCTAAATTGTCAGCCTTAGGCTGTAACATTTAGGGTCCGTTTGGGGCAGCTTATTTGGTGCGGTGACGTTTTGAAAACACAATGTTTGGGCAAACTGCGTTTTGGAAGCTTGTGCGGTGACAACTTTCTGACAACGGTCTGACTTTTAAAAAAAATAATAAAAATTTATAATAGTCACCGCACTTAACTTATCAGCAGATTATTTCTAATCAGTTTATCAACAGAATATTCCATAAGTTGTAGCTGCCCCAAACAGACCCTTGACCCTTAATTCCTGATAGTAATAATTTATATTAAATTTTTTTTATTTTCTTTAAACTAAATGAAATATATCAGTTCAATGATTATTTCTCTTTTACATCACAAATTAAATTTTAAAAAAATTAAAACACATTGATTAAAAAAAAAGATTTTGCCTCATTTTCTTTTAAATTATAGTTCATTTTCAAGATAAGCTAACTAGTAAATAATTAATATTTAATAGCTTTTTAGTTCAATTCCTTAATTAAAACTAGAATTTTTAATTAAAAAATTGCCATTTATCAATTTATTTTTTATTCTTATTTTTTAAATAGTAGTTTGCTTCCCATTCCTTGATTTAATATGATTTTAAACTATGATCACTTATTTATTCACAAGGAAATGGGAAGAGGTGATGATAAATATTGTGAAGGTCTCATGCATGATTTCATTATCTATAATTTAGTTGTGGGCTCAATTTAAATAATTAGGTGATAATTGTGGATTATGCAATTCAAAATGAGCCCAATAGTCACGATGAAGAGCTTAGTGAAGAAGTCAATGCATCAAGTATTTAGTGTGACTCAATGGCACATATCATGCATAACACATGTGGGCTATAAATAAACAACATACCAAATCTAGTTGAGAATGAGAAATAAATAAATAGAAAATATATTAAATAAGTCAAAATTTTTAAAATTGAGAATTAAATAATTTGTATTCACAAATTGATATTTAAAAAAAAATAATAATAAAATAAAATTGACATTACCACCACTAAAGATTGGTAGTGACCACTAAGGCTCCGTTTGGGGCAGCTTATTGACCTGCGGCTGCGTTTTGAAAACGCCGTCGCAGTGTTTGGAAAACAAGTTGGAGACATTTTTTCGTGCCGTAAGTAAAAGCTTATGGGATATTTCTTCTTCGTGGGTGAAACGGGATGGGCCTTGCGTTATGCGTCTGATTATCGTGTTAGGGTAAGATTTCTCCCTCTGCCCTTCGTTCGCCCTCTCAATCTAGCTCTCCCCTTCCCGTTGTTCCTTCGTCCTTCTGCAACTTATCTATTACTGAGATCAAAACCGAGGTATATTTTTGTACCTATCCAACTCTCTCCCTCCCCGGTCTTCGTACTGCTCCTTCTCGCCTCAACAACTGAGATAAGTGGATCAACACAGTTGTGCAAGTAGAGAAAATGCTAGAGGGATTCATTCTCTCAGATTTTGTATGAATTTTTTTGGCACATTACTCTTGCTAGAGGGATTTGTTATTACTCTCATCTTTTTCCCCTTCTCTTATACAAACGCATAGGTTAAACATGGTTTTTCATTACCGTTGGAAATTTTCATGGGTAGCGCCGAATTCGTATGCAATTACTTCGTGACTAAACACAGTTGTGAATGATATGTGTAGCAGAGAATTCGTATGGAACTATTCGTGACTAAACACAATTGTGAAATCGAGTTCAAATTTTACAGGCAATGCCAAATTCGTGACTAAACTCATTTTCATGGGCAGCACGAATTCGAATTTTACACTTCTGTTGGAAATCTACATGCATAGCACCCAATTATTTGTGGCTTGTAATTCTTGGTACCTGTGAGCTTTCTACTATACTATTTGAAAGATATTGGAAACTGAAATTAACAGATTTGGGCATTTACATATTGGTCTCTTTTAAGAGAGATTGGGGCAATTATAAATTGAAAATGTACAGTTGGGAAACAGATTGCTTTTGTTTGTGTGTGCATTGGCAAAACATTTTAGTTCACGAGTTTGCATTTCAAATGTGTATGGTTGCCTAAATAATGCAGTTGAACTATTGTTACCATGCACTTGATATCGAAATTGGGTTTTAAATAACATTTTATGATAGAGAGCAGTTGGGAGCAGTTGGGAGCAGAATGGCTTCTGTTAGCATTGGGAAATCTACATGCAATGTACCTGTTAGCTTTTGTTTGTGTGTGCATCAGAGAAAACATTTTGGAGCAGCTTGATTTTGTTTGTGTGTGCATTGGCAAAACATCCAATAGTTGCTGCAATGAGTGCTCTCAATTTTTCGATATTGAGAGTTCATGACTTGGAATTTTTCGATATCCAGATGCTTAGAACACTGATTATAATAATGTTTTGATTTTGTTTTCCCTGTGTAGGCACAAACAAAAGCAATGTACTCCCAATATGTTCGTGACTTGGAATACTATTTCAATTCATTTGAATGTTTAGTACTTTTGTAACCTTACAGATTTGTTTAATAAAACTTTCGTGGATTGTCTTCTGTGTATGTAGGCCATTGACCATTGGCCGAACCACATAAACCTTTCGTTTACTTGTTCTTTTTTAATATTTGTAAATTGCAACTTTGTGGAAATTATGTTGGTTTTCGGTGTTTATTTATAATTTGTTATTTCTTAAAATTGCATAGGATTACTTTATAAACTGTGGAATTGATCTGGATGAAGTTGGGCTATTTCTTTTACACATTTAGAAAGTATTTATTTTCTTTTGTTCCCTATAGTTTCAATATGTCCAAGGCGACTAAAGGGGGTCTATCCGCAATATGGGATAAAAAAGTAGCAAATATTTTTTTTGTGATCTATGTATTAAAGAAATTGAAGTAAAGGGGGTCTGTCCGCAATGTGGGATAAAAAAGTAGCAAATATTTTTTTTTGTGATCTATGTATTAAAGAAATTGAAGTGGGGAACAGACCAACCACGTATTTTAATAAGAAAGGTTGACAAAATATTACTAAAAGGTTCAAAGAATTGACTGGAAGAGATTACGACATGCTTAAATTCAAAAACCTTCAGGATCTCTCGTTGGTCAATCATTACCTGAGAATGAGATCGAGTCAATTGAATTTGAAACTCATGACGGTGAGGGTGTAGCTGAGATGGCTGCTTTGAGGGAGTCTATCGCAGATGCTATATCTGGGTGTTGATTCACCGTGTTTTTTTATTTATTACATGTTCTTTTGGGATTTAATTCAATTTAGTATGGATTTGTATTTTAGAGTTTTATTAAGAATTTTGTATCTTTCATTTGGGATGTAATTCGTGGTAGTATGAATTTGATTGTTTAGTTTTTTTTTTTTTTTTTTTTATTTTATTTTTGGTTTGCTTTTGGTGGGGTGGGGTGTTTTAGCAAGATGCATTTTTTTTTTGTTGGGCCGACATTCCGACATACTCCCATGCCGACAGTGATCGTGTTACAATAGTTTCCCAAGAGGGCAGTGTCGCTGAGGATAGATGACGACAGAGTTTTAAATTGAACGTTTAATATTTTTAATTTTAATTGTG